TATATATATATTTTTTTTTTTTTTTTTTTTTACATGTTGTTATTATATATGTTCTTACATTTTGCCAAAATACCAGCAATTGAGTGTTATTAAATGAAAACAAGTATACTATATATTTATTTATTATTATTTTTTTTTTTTTACTGAATGTTTATTGGCTTTTAACAAGATTAATATACAAATTAACACATATCAAGATTATATTAATCCAAAAAACTAAAATAAAACAACAACAAGAAGCGTCCCCACCCCCAGGATAGTGTGCATACATAACAACAGCATTACATTTGAAAATAAATTACTACATTTTCCATGTTATGCCTACCTGGCCAAGCTCTAAACTTTCTTTAGTTGAGTCTGGTAAGATGGCAAAAAAGAAGACCAGGTACATCTAAAAGCATCCACATTTCCCTTAAGTGATGCACTAATTCTTTCAAATGGATGTATACTGTAAATCTCTTGAAACCACTGGTGAATTGATGGTGGTTTGTCCTTAATCCAATTAAGTAAGATACATCCCCGGGTAATAAAAAGCAACTTCTGAGCAAAAGTTAAGTCCCCCGGTGCAAGTGTTGAGTTATTGGGTCTTTACATATAGTATAACCAAATATGTTTTCTAATCTCCTTTGGACCTTGCTCCAGAATCATGAGATTAGGGGACAAAACCAAAACATATGGTATATGCATACCAACACTAATCTTACACTTTAAACAAATTGGCGACCTTTGCGGATTAATTTTAAGAATAGAATGTATGGTGTGCAATGCAAGCGATGGACAATTTTATACTGGGTTTCTTTTGCTTTGTTGCAGATAAATATACTGCCCATATGTTTTAAGGCTTTCTCCCATTCTTTGTTCTCAGGGATGCTGCCAAAATCTTTCTCCCATAAGGATCAATTTTTTGAAATTGAGATTTATACATCAAACACAACCATTATACTGTCCTTAACCCCAGGAGGAAACTCCTGATTCCTATTGAGAGGCATCAGTAAAACTGGGGAGCTGTTGTTACCAAAAAATATCACCACACCTTTAATGTACCCTGAACAAAGGGATTGCTTTTCATATTCAGGATAATTTTACTTGGTGTCCCAGAAAGCAGGCTGAATGGAGAATACGGCAAGGTAAAAAAATGAATCAATATTCATAGTTGAGTGCATATCTTGACACCAATTTAGAAGGATTCTAGCATGACAAGACCAGTCACAGAAATGAATATTAGGGAGGGCAAGACCACAAGCTTCAATTGGTAATTGAGATTTTCCTTCTTGGGTTTTTATGCCAAATAAACCTTGAAAAATGTTTTTCCAGATCCCTAATCATATTCCTGCCAATGTAAAGTAGAGTAATTTGTAACGGGTACAGTAGTCTGGGGAGGATGTTCATTTTAATTAATGCTATCCGACCCAGCCATGATATAGTTAGATCCATCCACCTATCCAGATCTTCTTTGATCTTTGAGGAGACATTGAGGTGTAATAGCTTGTTTAAGTTTGCAGGGGACATGAATTCCCAAATAACGGAACCCTTCAACTGGCCACCTAAATGGGAAATTAGGTAGGTCATTAATATTGCCAAATGCACCATTACTTGGTGTCCCAGAAAGCAGGCTGAATGGAGAATACGGCAAGGTAAAAAAATGAATCAATATTCATAGTTGAGTGCATATCTTGACACCAATTTAGAAGGATTCTAGCATGACAAGACCAGTCACAGAAATGAATATTAGGGAGGGCAAGACCACAAGCTTCAATTGGTAATTGAGATTTTCCTTCTTGGGTTTTTATGCCAAATAAACCTTGAAAAATGTTTTTCCAGATCCCTAATCATATTCCTGCCAATGTAAAGTAGAGTAATTTGTAACGGGTACAGTAGTCTGGGGAGGATGTTCATTTTAATTAACGCTATCCGACCCAGCCATGATATAGTTAGATCCATCCACCTATCCAGATCTTCTTTGATCTTTGAGGAGACATTGAGATGTAATAGCTTGTTTAAGTTTGCAGGGGACATGAATTCCCAAATAACGGAACCCTTCAACTGGCCACCTAAATGGGAAATTAGGTAGGTCATTAATATTGCCAAATGCACCAAGGGGCAATGCTTCAGACTTGTTGAAATTATTTTTATAGCCTGAGAAAGAACTGAAGATGTATATTATATTAATAAGAGCTGGCACCGACTTCTCAGGTTCTGTGAAGAACAATAAGATATCATCTGCGTATAAAACAATGTCAATGTGAATACCCACCACATCTGCCTGGTTGCCAATGGTCTCTGCCAATGGTTCGAGAACCAAAGCAAAAAGAAGTGGTGACAGGGGACAACCCTGTGTAGTTCCACTGTTCAGATTAAAGGGAAGAGAACGCATGCCATTTGTCAAAATAGAAGCTTGGGGCGACCTATAAAGTATTTGAATCCATTTCACAAACTCGTCTCCCAGACCAAATCGCCGTAAAACACTCTACGCGAGCGAAACTACCAGAGCCCTTTGCTTAGTCTGATTGCAATATTGGATAATGCCAAGAAGGCGTCTCATGTTAGTGAACGATTGACGATCGCAAACGAAATCAGTCTGGTCTTCATTGATTAAAGAAGGCAAGGATGTCTCTAAGTGTATAGATAAGACCTTAGAAATATTTTTGCTAACAGTGTTAATTAAAGAAATTTGACTTGTGCTGAACACTCATCTGGAGGTTTATTTTTATAAAAAAAAAATTGAGAATAAGATCTTTATTTGCCTGGTAAAATGTTTGAGGTAGCGTTCCCTTTTCAAATGAAGTGGAGTAGACTTTAAACAATTGATCACTAATTAAGTGTCCACATATTTTTTGTAGAATTCTGAACCAAAACCATCCGGCCTTGGGGCTTTGCCGTTTTTGAGCTAAACGATGGCCTCCAAGATGGGCTGGAACAGGATGCCAAATCCCTTAAAGGGTTAGTTCACCCAAAAATTAAAAATTTGCCCACAAATCACTCACCCTCAAGTCATCCTAGGTGTATATGACTTTCTTCTTTCAGACGAATCCAGTCGGAGTTATATTAAAAAGTGTCTTTGATCTTTCAAGCTGTTTAATCTCAGCGGGTGTTGCATGCATCAGTCCAAAAGAAGTTAAATAAAAAGCGCCCATCCATAAAAAAAATGTCTCACACAGCTCCGGGGAGTGAACAAAGGCCTCCTGTAGCGAATCGATGCGTTTTTGTAAGAAAAATATCCATATTCAAAACGTAATAATCACTTTAATGTAGCTTGCGCCAACACTTGTACACGGAAGCAGCTCCGGGCGGATGACATATGAGTTCAGTGTTGCGCATGCGCCGGTGAGTCTCATGAAAACCAGCGTTTGTTAACAAGAGCAAAGGAAGTAAAATTTCCTTACTTTAGCAAAGTAAAACCAGTCTCCGCTTGGCTTATTTCGAAATCCTCCGACATTCTTCTTTAAAAAGTGTCTTTGATCTTTCAAGCTGTTTAATCTCAGCGGGTGTTGCATGCATCAGTCCAAAAGAAGTTAAATAAAAAGCGCCCATCCATAAAAAAAATGTCTCACACAGCTCCGGGGAGTGAACAAAGGCCTCCTGTAGCGAATCGATGCGTTTTTGTAAGAAAAATATCCATATTCAAAACGTAATAATCACTTTAATGTAGCTTGCGCCAACACTTGTACACGGAAGCAGCTCCGGGCGGATGACGTATGAGTTCAGCGTTGCGCATGTGCCGGTGAGTCTCATGAAAACCAGCGTTTGTTAACAAGAGCAAAGGAAGTAAAATTTCCTTACTTTAGCAAAGTAAACCCAGTCTCCGCTTGGCTTATTTCGAAATCCTCCGACATTCTTCTTTACAAATCCTGGTTTTGTACTTCATAAAGTGACTGTTGTTTTGTTTTGATCTCTCCCCTGCGCTTCCGCGTTCGTCATTTCTGAGCGGCGCATGCGCAAAGCCGACCTCATACGTCATTCGCTGATTCCGTGTACAACTGTAGGCGCAAGCTACATTAAAGTGATTATTATGTTTTGAATATGGATATTTTTCTTACAAAAACCCATCAATTCGCTATAGGAGGCCTTTGTTCACCCCCCGGAGCCGTGTGAGACACTTTTTTTTTTTTTATGGATGGGCGCTTTTTATTTAACAACTTTTGGACGGATAGATGCAACACCCGCTGAATGGCATTAAACAGCTTGAAAGATCAAAGACTATATTTAATATAACTCCGGCTGGATTCGTCTGAAAGAGGAAAGTCATAAACACCTAGGATGACTTGAGGGTGAGTAATTTGTGGGCTAATTTTCATTTTTGGGTGAACTAACCCTTAAGGAAGCAAAAAATATACTTAGAAAAGAATTAGGGGTATAGACCGAGCCTAATATGACCATTTCTCCGTAGAGGTGGCCCAAAATAATCACATATCTGCCTCCTTTATCTTTAATCATTTTTTCTAACTTAAAGGAGAAATGTTTGTGAACTAAAATGGCAACACCTAGAATACTATATTAATAATTTATATTATTTTGTTAAAAAAAAATGTAATTTCATAATATTATGCATTAATTATATTTTCTAAAAATTACATTATATTATGCATTAAATATAATTTAATGCATAATATTATGAAATTCAACAGAATAGATATTTAATATATATTTTATTATTTGTTTGTATTATATGTTGTCGGTTTAATTTTTTTCTGTATTTTCATATTGCTAAATTATATTTTGGTGCAATTTCATGCAAGCATTTCTTGACCTAAGATGCTGTTTCTCTGATTTTAGGATAAACATTGGTTACTACGGCAACCTGCAAATCCAATGCCAAACAGCTCCATTGAGTACCTTGATAACGCTTACCGCAGGAGGTACGCAAATATAGATTTCATGCAACGTTCTATCAAATAAATCTTTCTATTGAGATATGTGTGTTTAATATCTGTGATAGGTGGCAGACGCTTCTGTCAGTGGACGACATGGTGGAGCAGCTGATTAAGAAACTGGATTCAATAAAGGAGTTGAACAACACATACATCTTCTACACATCTGATCACGGCTATCACACCGGTGTGTCCTCAGTCTCCACAGTTTTATTGACCTGTTGTCGCCTGACTTTATGACACCTTATTTTTCAATCGATTTCAGGCCAGTTCTCATTGCCCATTGACAAGAGACAGCTTTATGAGTTTGATATTCGCATCCCTCTCTTGGTTCGGGGTCCAGGAATCAAACCTAAACAAACACTTCAGGTTAGAAGACTGATTTAGTGAACAACATGTCTAAATATGTGACCCTGGAGCACAAAAGCTGTCTTAAGTCGCTGGGGTATATTTGTAGCAATAGCCAAAAATACATTGTATGGGTCAAAATTATTGATTTTTCTTTTATGCCAAAAATCATTAGGATATTAAGTAAAGATCATGTTCCATGAAAATATTTAGTAAATTTCCTACTGTAAATATATCAAAACTTAATTATTGATTAGTAATATGCATTGCTAAGAACGTCATTTGGATTAGATTTTTTTGCACCCTCAGATTCCAGATTTTCAAATAGTTGTATCTCGGCCAAATATTGTCCAATAACAAACCATGCATCAATGGAAAGCTTATGTATTCAGCTTTCAGATGATGTTTTGTGGTCCAGGGTCACATATATTCTATGTAAAAATTATATAACATCTACTTGCCTGTCCGCTAGTCTCCAGTGCTGAATATAGATCTTTCGATGACTATCCTGGACATCGCAGGAGTAAATCTCTCCACCGTCAACATGGACGGACAGTCTTTCCTGCCACAGATGGTGAGTGTGTCATGATTTTCACTTCCTGTTTCAGAACATGTGTATGTGACATATTTTTTAATGCCGTTTCACCTGTTTTGATGTATTTTTTCTTACAATACCTACCTCAGTGTAGCATTATGAATGTATTGTAGCAAAGTAGCAAAACAATCTACACTAAATTTAAAAGAAATTATTACTTTTTTTTAGCAAGAATGCATTAAATTGAAAGTGACAGAAAAGACCTTTATAATGTACACAAAAGAGAATTGTCGCAGAATCCTGAAAAAAACAAATGTATCAGTTTCTCTAAAAAATATGAAGCAGAACATCTGTTTTCAACATTGATAATAATAATAAGAAATGTTTCTTGTGCTGCAAATCAGCATATTAGAATGATTTCTGAAGATCATGTGACACTGAAGACTGGAGTAATGATGCTGAAAATTCAGCTTTACATCAAAGGAATAAAATACATTTTAAAATATATTCACATAGAAAACAGCTATTTTAAATTGTAATAATATTTGGCATGAACTCTCCCTTTAATTCTGATCTGGGAAGTCACACACACTTCCCTCCTTAAAATGTGAATGTATCTACAGCGTGATTCTAGTTCATATGCTGTCATACAGCTACATGAACAGTTTCTAAGGGCTTGAAACCGTTCAACTGAAGGTTTACTTGTCGTCAGTCTTGCCTTACTTCCTGCTGCAAAAAAAATCAAATAAAAAAAGACACAAATGTTTGTCTAGAGTAATTTGTGCTTGCGGTTGAACTGGATCATCGAAGGTCAGAAGCAAAGACATTGGTTAATAGAATGGGATTAAATACATAAAGCATATTTGTGTTGTTTAACATTTAATTATTGCAGGTTTGCGTCATATTCTGAGTTGCATTATTTTTATTCATTTTGAGGAATACTGAATCTGTGTTTTTTTAGTTTTTTGTGAGTGAGATGAATTAATGCATATTCATATTTATTTTAGAACTACAGTAACATCTTCTGATTTCTCTCAGCATGGGGACACCAGAGCTGTCAATCAATAAATTGGGAAAAAAAAGTAACTTGCGTTACTTATTTGAAAAAGTAACTCAGATATTCTCTCGTAAATGAAAAAGTAATGCGTTACTTTACTAGTTACTTGAAAAAAGTAATCTGATTTCGTAACTCACGTTACTTGTAATGCGTTACCCCCAACACTGGTTATGTGTATCAAATATTTTAATATTATTATAATATACACATTAGTACACTTTAACAGTATTGAGTTCAATTCAATAATATTATAATTAAATAATATGTAATAAAATAAAAACGTTTTTCAAGTGGTTTATTTTTGACCAGACTTTTATTTTGTACTGACTGAACAGGAAGTGCCGTAGTGGATTTTCTGCTTTAAAGAACAATACAAGTCAGGATAGGAGTAGATTATTCTAATATACAAGATAGATAATGGAACTCCTCAAGGAAGTGTGTGCAGTCCAGTGTTATTCAATTATGATCAATTATAATGTTAATGGTGACATAGGAAGTGCATTATTTGCAGATGATGGGCATATGGAAAAGAGGACATAATATTGCATTGTATCGAAAAAGTTACAAAAAGCAGTAGATGAAGTGAGACATGGGCAAATAACTGGAGCTTTAGATGATCAGGGGCTAAAACTCAAGTCACATGTTTTAGTAAAAGCAAAAATGTCTCAGAAGTTAAGTTGAAGTTATATAATCAGAAATTAGAGCTGGTGTCAGCAGTTAAATGTCTTGGTGTATGGATGGAATCTAAACTGACTTTTGCGATGCATGCTATAATAAGTTAATTAAGAAATGTAAATCAGGAGTAAACATCTTAGGATGCTTATCAGGGGTTGAATGGGGAGCCTGTAGATTATCATTGAAAAGAATATACTGTACATTAATTAGATCAAGTTTGGATTATGGTAGTATAATATATGGATTTGCATCTGAAACCATGCTTAAAAAGATTGAAGCAGTTCAGAATCAAGCTGTAAGGATATGTTGTGGTGCTTTCAGAACATCTCCCATTGCAGCCATGCAGGTAGAAGTTGGAGAAGCTCCTTTATACCTTCGTAGATATACACTAAGAATGAATTATTGGGTCAATATAAAAGGTACAAAGTACAAGTAGCTGGTATTGCAGACTATAGTCCAACTGAAGTATTATCTAGTGTACCACCATGGAAATTTCCAATGCCAAGAGTTGATTTACAAATACAAACAATAATGAAGAATGAGAAAGAAACCCCCAACGTTATTGTACAGCAGTGTTTAGATCAGGTTTATTCATCATGGTTGCATTTATCTAAAGATCCTGTCTCTGATAGAACAGCTGCTGCAGTATACAGTGGGTACGGAAAGTATTCAGACCCCCTTAAATTTTTCACTCTTTGTTATATTGCAGCCATTTGCTAAAATCATTTAAGTTAATTTTTTTCCTCATTAATGTACACACAGCACCCCATATTGACAGAAAAACACAGAATTGTTGACATTTTTGCAGATTTATTAAAAAAGAAAAACTGAAATATCACAGAAGGAGTGGCTTCACGACAACTCTGTGACTGTTCTTGAATGGCCCAGCCAGAGCCCTGACTTAAACCCAATTGAGCATCTCTGGAGAGACCTAAAAATGGCTGTCCACCAACGTTTACCATCTAACCTGACAGAACTGGAGAGGATCTGCAAGGAGGAATGGCAGAGGATCCCCAAATCCAGGTGTGAAAAACTTGTTGCATCTTTCCCAAAAAGACTCATGGCTGTATTGGATCAAAAGGGTGCTTCTACTAAATACTGAGCAAAGGGTCTGAATACTTAGGACCATGTGATATTTCAGTTTTTCTTTTTTAATAAATCTGCAAAAATGTCAACAATTCTGTGTTTTTCTGTCAATATGGGGTGCTGTGTGTACATTAATGAGGAAAAAAAATGAACTTAAATGATTTTAGCAAATGGCTGCAATATAACAAAGAGTGAAAAATTTAAGGGGGTCTGAATACTTTCCGTACCCACTGTATATCCCTACATTTCAAAACAGTATTAAGGAAAGTATAACTGATCACATATCAGTGTATGCAACATCATTCATTGCTGTGATGGGAGCAAGCCAGTGGGTTGAGGATGTAACACCGAGATTTGTAGTAATTTGCTCTGACTCTTATGCAGCACTGACAAGTCTTGCAAGTGGATTAAAATCATCAAGGCAAAAACATCATTTATGAGATTCTTGCATGTTTGTTAAGAATAAGTAGTGTACGTTTAATAATGTCCCTGGGGTTTCCTGTGGGAGTTGAGGCTAATGAAATGGTTGATAAACTACCTAAGCAATATATATATTCATGTTCTTTAATATGTTCTTAAATTTGGCAAAAAAACAAACAAGAATACTATATTAATAATTTTAATTATTTTGTTTAAAAAATGTAATTTCCTAATAGTATGCATTAATTATATAATTTTTTAATTACACTATGCATTTAATATAATTTAATGCATAATATTATGAAATTCACCAAAAATATATTTTTTTATATATTATTATTTGTGTATATATGTTGCCTGTTTAATTTTTTGTCTGTATTTTCATGATATCAGAAACAATAGAGCATGTTTTAATGAATAGCAAAAATGGGCATAGAAACATTTAGTATGCAAAGCCTTTTGAAAGAAAATGCAGAACAATATGAAGTATATGGCGCAATTATAAAAGTTATTAAAGAAATTGGATTTAGAAGGGAGAATTTAGTTTTTGGGTTGATTTTTTTAACAATGCCACACTCCAGTCCGGTTGGTGGCGGTAGTGCACCACAAGTTGGTTTGCGAACCGCCATTAGAAGAAGAAGAAGGAAGTGCAGCTGCTCTCGAAAGATCTGTTGTTGCTGCTTTACGTTTGTTTTCCATCAACAAGCATCGAAATTAGACAGCGTTCAGTCAGATTTGATCCCGCTGAGCTGCTCAGCCATGTCTTCTCCGGTGGAAATGACTGAGCTGTATGATAACGCGCTGTTAGGGATCCTGCAGCATGTTGGAAACATTCAGAATTTCCTGCAGGTTTATTTTGGGTTCCTCTACAGAAAGACGGACTTCTACCGCCTCCTCAGCGGCCCACAGGACCGCATGGGCTTCCCGCCCGGAGTAGCTGAAAAAATGGTGTTCAAGGTACTGATTGACTTTAGCTTTGATCCATTAAACTGACTGGATAGAAATAAGTATAAATGCGGCATTGCAGTGATGGCATCTGCTGAGAAAACCATGGGGGAAAGCGAAGTGACTTCTAGCCAATAGCCGCTCTTTGTGCTCTGTGTTTATCCCATCCGAGTACACACACACACACACACACACACACACACACACACACACACACACACACACACACACACACACACACACGGAATCTGTGAATTTTATAGACATATACTGAGATATT